GTGGGGCCCACATCCCCACAAAAACCCAATTAAACGCTGCCAAATCATCCCTTTAACTCTCCTCCTCACGGAATTCTTCGTAGATGTAGCAAAACTCCTATGTTATCTATGACGAAATTGTATTTTTTTCCCTCTCTCCTTGTATGATGAAATAATCCATGCCATTTCCTGCAAAATATAGAAATAACCCAAGCCATGACTACAATATGGCATTATAAGGGCACATACATTGGTTGATCCCCATGTCGTCCCCGTGGGCGACCCAGGGGTAAACCCTAGCCGCCGCCACTCGATCACACCCATCCCTCCCCCCCCCTCGCCGCTGTCCGCGGCACCGCCAGGCAAAGTCGGGCCGGCAGTGCAGCGGTGGGGCTTCTTCACCCTTCGAGCATCACGGCCGGCGCGGGACGGCCAGATCACGAGAAGGCGCGGGGCAACAACTCTTGACGACGTCATGTGCGGCATGGCGACGACGTCTAGGATGCGAGCTCGGTGGTCGATCCAATCTTTGCGGCTCGACGGCGATGGCTGCGATGGTGTGGTGGTCGGCCCTATCTCGGACGGCGACAGCTGCAGGCGCGACACGGCCCTGTACCAGGAAGGGCGGCGGCTGCGGTCGGCGCGCCATCAGGCGTCGAATCAGCGGCAACGGCGTGAAGGCCATGGTGGACTGGTCGGCGGCGCCTCCGGTCAGATTTGATCTGGCCGGTGCAGCCAGCGGTGGTGGCCATCTTCTCCGTCGGAGGTGGTCGGTCTGACGCTGGATGGTCAAATCTCGAGATCCGTGATCTAGCTCCGGCTGCGAGTCGGGAAGACATAGTTCCCGGTGAAACCGAGCTGATGGCAGGCGATGGCGGCGTTCTGCGTCGTTACCTTGATGAAGGCAGCCTCGTGTAACTACGGTCGACCCACTCGTGCTGCTTCGGGGGAAACCCTAGGATCTGGTCTTCCAGACCAGACGATGGCGGTACTACGGTGTCGTTTTCTCTCTTGGGAGCATCGTTGTGGAGCAATGCTGGAAGACAGAGGCAGGAGGTGGAGCGGCTTCGTCTTGCACGGAGCTTTCGGTGAAGATCTCAAGTCATGTCTGGCAGACAGGTGCTACGTTGTGTCATGCCTGGTCAGCTCATGTTACACACGACAGAACCTCCAGAATCTTCGCGTCTGGATGGACGAGCGCGGAGCGGTGGCGTCGTTGGGCGCCGTGGTGGCGTCGACGGATGGACGGACTGGCAAGGATGATACAGATCTCTCTCCTGAAGATGGGTCAGCGGTCCGATGAAGATGGTGGCATCTAGAACGTATGAAGGTGGTGTACGTTTTAGGTCTGCTACACCGGCTGTTGGTTCCGATATATTATGTGAATGGATCAGCGACG